AAACTGTTTTACACCGAGAAATCGTGCACTCGCCCCGAACAGTCGACCTAGTGGCTCGAGATGTCATTTCTGAGCTCAGTGAGATCAACTTTTTTTAACAGAGGGGTTGCAGTACTATTTATGATCTTAAACAAGAGACAGATATTTGAATATATGATTGTTTTCAAACATAATATACTATGTTTTTTCAAGAATATGATAATAATGAAATAACTGAGATTTGTTGTCATAAACGTTAGAGAAGTTTTCTACAAAGATTCCAGGGGCCTTAATGCTGTTTTACATGCTTGTGAAAAACTCGTCATGCAGAATCGAAAGTGTGGAAATATCATCACATTTAGATGTAAATTAGATGCACCTATGATCAAAGAGTTTCTAATATATCTAAAATGTGCTATGAATTTAACGTGTTGGTAATCTTTTTAATATGTTTTTTGAAATTTGGATTTGGGTTTAGAATGACTCCTAAACATTTAATTTGGTCTACCTTTTTAATTTCCTGACCCTCAACTGATTTTGTTAAATGAAAGTTAAATGAGAGTTTGTTTTTTTTAGCCAAATAGAAATCTTTTCCATTTCCTCAGTTAACTTTTGAGCAACATCCTTAACCCATTTAAGCCCACCGGCAACTATAGTTGCCGCAGTGTATAGTTGTCATTTTCCTTGTGTAAGTATTTTTATAGATGTTATCCATGTTGTATGTCTCAATGTCATGCAAGGAAACAACCAAATAAAGGATTTCAAGAAAAAAAAAAAAGTATTCACTTCCTTCCTGTCACATGAGGCTGTCAACTTCCTACCCCTACTTCCAGGAAGCATGGCGAAGGCAAACCCTCCCAACGAAAGCTAATTTTCATATTACTAATAAGTATTTTTTGTTGAAATATATATATCTAGATAATAATGAAGGTCTCTAGAATCCTCTAAACAAAACAAATCTTACAATAGATCTATAGTTTTTTGTATACTTAGTCAAAAGTGCAAGCGGCAACTATAGTTGCCGGTGGGCAAATACCTTGTAAGTACATATATCATTGGAAAATGGGGTATACCGTGTTAATAATTCAAGGTTATTGGACTTGTTTAATAACTTTACCCTTGTATGCACTGTTATTTTAGTTTTTTGCCATTTGTTTTTTTGTTTTATATATATATATATATATATATATATATACATATACCCCAGGCAACAAAATGTAATTTTGTAACAAATTTTGTACAAATGTAATTTGTTGTAATTTGTAACAAATTACATTTTTGATATATGCATATCTACATATTATGAAATCATAATTATAACAATATAAGTTACTTTTTGTCAAAGTTTAGCCGTTTTTGTACTGAAAAAAATCAGTTTTTCAATAATGTTACATTATGATTAGAATCAAACCTGATCAGGATGTTACAAAGAGAAAAGTTGGAGTCTTTAGAGTTTATAATTTATTTCAAACATCTGTTTTTCATATAATTCAAAAAAATTGTGCCACCAAATTTCTGTTCTTTCTGATTTTGAGGATGAATTTTGACCATTGACAAAAATCATTTGGTTCTATAACATTATTAAAAAACAGATTTTTTTTCCAGTACAAAAAATGCCTAAACTTCGACAAAAAGTTACTTTTATTGTTTTAATTGTGATTTCATAATATCTAGATATGAATACAACTGGAAAAACTTGTGAAAATATGTCTTTCATTTAGTCAAATAGCAAATTGCAAATAGTGGAGCTCTGCAGCCATCTACTGGTTAAAGTGATAATTTGTTACTTTTAAAATGGCATTTTCCAAAATATTGGCAAAAATCTTACACTAAACCATGTCAAATTATCCATGTTATCCCCATTAATGAAAGTTAGAAATGTGGGTCAAAAAGACCCCAAACAGCACACAATGTTTAAGACAAATGGATTTGTTGTTTGTTGTGTTTTTATATTCAAGACATTATAAGCTATAGATTCCGCTTTTTTGCGTTCGCATCAAACATTCTTCGACTTTTATACACAATAAATTTGTTTATGAATAAAGATTGATCTGTTGAAAGCAGTTATTTTGAGATAGATGCCAAATGTTCTCCTCCTATTCATATTTAACATTGATGGGGTGCATACAACATATTTGCCCACCGGCAACTATAGTTGCCGAACATTCAAATACGATTTTCAAGAAGAAGAAAAAAAAAACTTGAGGAAATAAATGCAGAACATGTTCACATAGGACATTATTAACACGACTATATGCATGAAACCATTCAGAAAAATTTGGGCACAAATGGGTTAACAGTGTTACCATGGATATACACCATTTTGTCATCAGCATGCATTATCATTTTAGCATTGATACACACACACGGAAAATCATTAATATAAAGTGAAGACAACAAGGGCCCTAATATAGAGCCCTGCGGCACACCCATAGTGCATGCTCGTAAGAGAGATGATACATTATTTATAGATGCACTCTGCTGCCTTGCACTGAGAGAAGATTTAATCCAATTGAATCCGGTGTTGAACTCGTGGAGATTCTGGAAGCTGTCTTCCGTAAATGAGCAGCACAGAGAGCTAGATTACCATCGTCATTTTCAGGAACATAATCAAACATAAATTGTATCCATTGTTGAAGTACAGCGTCTGTGGGAAGCCGAAACACAGAAGACCTGACAGCTGCGTGAACACACTCGACGAGCTGGAGCTGCTGAAATATGGCCATGCTCTTTTCTGCTTATTCCGGAGGGAGGGTTGATGCAAATGTGTGGGTTAGTGACGTACCATAACCCAGCTGTAGTCCCAATCCAGTCGTTTTTGTAGGCGTTTATACTTCCTGATTTTTAAAGGACGATATCTCTGCTTACACTGAACTTTCAGCGCTGCAACTTTGCAGATACTGTTCATGCACCAACAGCAACATTACACACTATTTAACATGAAAAAAGTGAAATGGCAGTCAACCCCGCTTTAATATTCATCAATTGCGATATCATGTTAAATACAGAGAGGAAATAATAAAAACGTAACTTCACTCAATGTGAAGTAGAAGTTATCGTTGGCGAGGTGGAAAAGAGGAGAGAAATGTTGTTTGGAGGGCACAGTGTGGGCATTACTAATGCCAAAAAGGCACTTGAGTGGCAAAAGGTTGCAGACGCCGTAAATGCTGTGTCCTCACAACCTCGGACTGTGGCCGAAATAAAAAAGAAATGGTCGGACTTCAAAGTCGAGGCAAAAAAGCGTCTAGTCATTAATTCAATTAGAGAGGGCCAAGGAGTTGGGCGAAATCAAGACTGTCCAAACTGAAATAAACTGCACAATGAGGGAATTCTTCAATAAATAATATAATTTTTTCCACACCTTTTGTTGTGAAGATGATGCGTTCACTCCGAATCCTTCCATTTAATCGCCACATCTTCTAAGAGCTCAAGATCAGCCATTGTGCGTCATTATACGCATTGTGATGGGGCATTTTATTTACATCCATTTAATTCTGCATCTGACAAGCTACGGATGTCGCTTATAATCTAAATGGGAAATAGATCAGCGCAAATGTAATTTCTTGCAGCTTTCTGAATGTTTTATTTTTGATAAAATAACGTATGATGTGTCTCAACCAAACTAAAGGCATATGCATGAATACCATGATTCCGGAGCTGATGAAGATATTTTATGATGAATACAACTTTCCCCAGTGGACAAATAATAAACTAGGCTATATATCTCCCTAATTATCTATCTATCTATCTGACTGACGATTTAATTGCTATATCTGCTCCGTTAGACGGACATATTGGCGAGAATATCAGTTTTGTACATTATTTCGTTCTGTTTACCATCTTATTTATGAGAATGAATTGTATAAGCCAATATTATTGAAAAACATATTTCTTTCTTTTTTGGAAATATGTGTTAATTTCCATTTCTGTTGCAGATCAATCAAACGGGTGTTCGTGTAGGCTGTTAATTGTAAGACTTGCTTTGTGAAGTCTTCGTGTTATTTATGAGAGGCAGTATTGCCATTTATTTTACACAACCGTCTACAGTTTCACACACTTTCACATGTTTTTCCAACTGCCGACGGTGTCGCCATTTCTCATTTCACCCGTTTTTGTGTGTACGCCTGGGTCAGAGCTGGCGTGAAGGACCGCACATTTTACCGTCAAGTTTGTTTTTTATAAACACCAACTATTGCGTAGAGAGCGGCGTACGCCTTCTTTTGTGTGTACGCAACGTTTATAAATGAGGCCCCTGGAGCTTATCTCCTGACTTGTGTATAGGCTTTACTATGGCTGTTTTCAGAGCAGTAGGGAAAGTACTTTCATTTATAGACTGATTTATAACTTTAGTTAGCACCAGAGTTGGGTAAGTTACTCAAAAAAAAGTAATCCACTACAAATTACCAATTTTTACTTTAAATTTAATTTAATTTACATTACTGATTACTGCATGTAAAAAGTAATGTGATTACTAATTACTTGACTTTCAAGTTAAATTGAAAACCTATTAAAACTACACAAAATACACTACAAAGTGAAACCCAGTTCTTTCCGTAATTTAATATTGACATGAAAAATATTACAGAAATATGAAAATAGCAATTTGACTAAAAGATCCAATGCATTTCTAGAAAATTCTTAGCATAAACCTGACTAACAATGGAAACTCTATTTTTGAATGTCTACAGTATTTAGCGTAGACCTACACTCAGTAAGTATCTTAAGTTTATTGACATTAGTAACTGTAATCAAATTACATAAATTTTAAATGTAATGAGTTACATTACTGCGTTATCACAAAATGTAATTACACTACTGTAACACGTTAAGCCCGGTATAATAAACAGAAAATTTAAGAAAAAAAAAAAAACACTGTAAACGTTTTTACATTTTGGAGACTTTTTTTTTACGGCACTTTTCAATAGTTTTTTAACCTTGTTTGATGCCTCTTTTGATTTTTGTACGGCCCTGACTTTATTTTTGTAATACAACATGTCTGGATGTAGTCTCATTACAGGATATCAGATGACCTTATCAGACTCCAGAGTGGACACCCCCGACTCCTTCTTGTCCGCATCCTCTGGGCTGGTGCTGGTGGGCGTCTCGCTCGAGGAGGTGCTTGGTGCAGCTCGTTTGCGGGGCTGAGGGGCCTTTCTCAGAGCGCTTGCACTTCTTTGGGTTTTCAGTTTGCGGCGGTGACCTCTCCTCTCCCTGCAGTGCTGCCTCCAACAATCGTCTCTGTTCCACCGCCTGCTTTGCAGTCAATCTGCGCGTTTTCGTCGATGGGCGTGTCCGTGGCGTCGATGATTCGCCATGAAACAGGAAGTTGTAGTAACTTGGCTGTAAATGCCCAGATCTGCACCAAATTTTACACATTTGACAAGAGTCCTGCCCTGAACAAATCTACATGCCGACATTCACCCACAGTCATAGCGCCACCTGCTGGCAACAGGAAGTGGCCTTTAATGAAGCAGCGGTAACGTTACAGCTGGTGAAACGTCAAACAGACACGAGTGCTCCTGCCAAATTTATACTCATTTGTCTTCCATTTATTGTGTCCAAATAGACCGAGAAGAAGCTTTTTTTTCTGAAACAATGCCATATCATGTTGATATGTGATCTATAACTCCTCCCCGAACTCCCTGCTGCTCTGTATCTTGCTCTCTCACTGGCTGCCGGTGATCGCCGGTGTAGTTTTCAGTCAAAACACTTTTCACACCGCAGGATTTTGAATCGCCGACAGGTCCAGATATTTAGCATGCCAAATATCTCACGGGCGTCGGCGACTCGTCGGTGATTCTCAGTTCGCGTCTTTGCTCATTCACACTGCGTGATTGTCACTCGCGTGAACGAGCGCCGATTTGCCTGTGATTTCGGGCATTTGTCGGCGATTTCTCAAAACCTGTCGGCGAGCCAAAATCGTGGCTAAAATCATGCAGTCTGAACTCGGCATAAGGCTGCTCAGCTCTCTATAGGAACATTGAAGATGTGTTGAATATTTACACACCACTCATTCAAATACATAACATATTTGTTGAGATATGCCAGAGATCCTACTTAGAAATGATGATTTCATGGAGGATTTCAGTTCACGAAAGGTTTTCTGGTGTACACCGTTGACTTGGTGACTTCCTTCTACTGGGATGATCTATGGAAATTACACTTAAACATCACTTCAGTCATTTTTGTATGTTTAAGAAATAATTCTGCTCAAAAATCAGTGACTAAACATCTATTTACATAAATAGATATAATATTTAAAATACATTTTGAACTTATGTATGTGTTATGTGCATTAAGTCACCCTGTGCCCTGTAAGACAGTAAATAGTATGCTTCTACAATGAAATTGTATATGGATAAATTGAGCACATACTTTGAGAGCGACGGTATTATTGGAATGGGATATAGCGGAGAAGACCTCTGCAAATTTCCCTTCACCGATCTTTATACAGTGTTTCGTGGCAGCTGGAGGGATGCATTCACCAAAGGAAAGTGGGCCGCTCTGCTGACATTCCCGATACACTTTTTCTGCATCGCTGATATTATCATCACATGAAGTCTGGAACACAAAGGCAGAGTAAAAAAAAAAAAAATGGGAGAAAAGAGACATCATGGAATAAAGAGACTTAATTTTCTGAGAAAGTAACAAAAACAATCATTAAAATGTATATTGTTGTATATATTGTAGACTGTACATTATTCAACCCTTGTCTCTTATTTTCTCTTTCACAAAAATAAACTCAATTCACTTTCACTCTGTGACTTTAAGATAAACTAACTCACTTTAAATTATTTCACTAGAATGAAAACAAAGTTAGGAATAACCTTTTCAATTACATCACATAAATCTCAAATAACACTTTTGAACACTTTTGTGAAATGTAAACACTGTACCGTACTTTGCAGAAAAAAGAAAAAAAATAACCCTAACAGTTTCAAGAGGGTCCTCGCACTGTTAGTGATCGGGCCCTAAAAATTACTTGGACTTAGTATTTACCAGCCATGTCCCTTGACAAGTCTATTCATACCTATAGCTATAAGGAAAAGCCAAGCAAAACACAAGTCCTTACCAAGTATGGCATGTCTACAAATCGAGGATATTGTTCAAAAATCTCTTTCACTGTTGGAGACTTGTTTGCGACCCATAATCTGCGATTATTGTACGTTTTCTCCATGCCAGATTTGATGGTATTGAGGTTTTCTGGAGATGGTTTCATCCTTTTGATCACAGTCGTCCACTCCCGAGGACTCCTCCTCCCCTTCAGCAGTTATTTCCAAAGTTATAGACACTCCAGAGGAATCACTGATTCGACTACATTTGCGCTGGTAGCGACGCTGATCATCATGAAGTTTCCTCCGTAGATTCCGAAGTCTCATCTCAATAAATCCACTGTGGGAAACTGGGTCATAGAAATGTTCCTGGATGAAAGGGGGAGGATAACAATTACAACTTTTACAAGAACCCATGTATGATGAGCAAACCAGCAGAGTGTATGTACATTGGGTGTCATGCAACTAATTTAAAAAATAAAACCTGTATCCTTTAAAAAATTGTATCCCGTAAACGAATTAACATACGACACTTAGCAACTTACAAATCCTTCATTCTCTTCTCCCATCTTGATCTTCAGAGAAGGAAACAGCGTTACCATACTTTCTGCCAACATCCGTTTCTCTTCATTAGAAGGGTAACTATAAGCAAAATAAAGAGGTGAGGAATACTTCCTGGAACTACCTCAAGTTACCTGTTTCATTTCGAGGAGCACACTGATTCAGCTGATGTAGTAAGTCATTTATTCTTACAGTAAGTGCTTTGTTCTAATAGCATTATTGAATAGTGACTGTAAACTGCATAACGCGCGCGCTGTGCGTTCATTCACTCTCGCTACATTAGTAAGAAGACTATAAACTACTGTGTTCTATACAGATCTGTAAAACCAAAAAAACTGTTTACAGTATTTCTCGATTGTTTACTCACATTTCCTGCAAGTATGCCTCATGCCTCATCCTCCCCTTCCTCAGTCACTGTCACAGACACAGCAGCCAGCAAACTTCTTTGCATGGCCAGGATGTCTTGCTGGTTCTCTGTAATCTCTTGCAGTTTTTGCAAGACTTTTGTGCGGTAGTCTGTGAAGTAATATTGCAGATCGGTCCTTGAAAATACAGTATTGTTTTAGTGTGAAGATGAAAACGTGACTCACTCTTTGTTGCTGCTTCAGAAGAACACTGGGGCTCTTCTAAGAGAAGCTGTGAGGCAGCTGTGGGATGACATCAAAATATACTTTTCAAAGTTTAATAATAATTTACTCTAAATAGAATGGTTAATATGATAACATTTATACCTTGAAGTGTTTGTGACGTGCTTGATTGTCCAAACTCTGGCAGTGATGTTTTTGCTGCAAAAAACAAAATCCAAATAGACTTAACATTCCTAGTAGAGTTGCAGGTAGAATTAAACAGAAAAAGAAACAGAGAGACAACCTCAAATTTCAAATTTCTCTGTTGCCTGTGAGAGGGCAAAGATATTTATATATATTTTTTTCAAATGTCTTTATACTTAAAAATACATTTTTATATTTTACGAACCCTTGTCAAGAGGATGAATATTGGAGAATGGCTTATCTGTAAATACAATTAAAATGGATTGGACATTCCATTTGTTGATTTAATCATTTGTTAATCGTGTTGCATGTCAACAACTTACATTTGGGTGGAAGTGGTTTTGATAGATTATCCTTAGGGAAAACTCTGACATCATCTAAAATAGAAATATGCTTTAAAATTAAAAACAGAGTTTACAAATAGAATAGAAATTGATCAATAAAAACAAATATGACACATTGTTCACTCATTTCACTCACTTAAATTGTCCGCTCTGTGTGAAGTGCACAGTTTTAGTTTTGTAACCAAACAATTCACAGTTAAAGGTTTTATTTAAGGTTATTTTCATTGTGGTGCCCTTAAACGGTGGTGCCCTTAAATTTAAATGTTGTTTGTTTGTTTGTTTTTTTCAGCAAAAAATACAAAAAATATTATTTAATGTGTTTTGAATACTTACCATCTGAGGAGGAATCTGTTTCAGGCAGAAATCTCTGTGGTTTTTTGTGTGCCCTCTTTTTGTTTGTTGTGGAGCTGTCCTCCGTTTCAATGTTTGAGGTCTCTACTACACGCCGGCATTTCTGGACACCTTTGGTGTATGAGTCTGGAAATTATGTTGTTGTTGTAAGTGTTGTTTTGTTTGTTGCAACTTTCTTTTTATTTGGATAATGTTTTAACAACTCTCACTTAAATATTGTAGATTAATTTATATAATGTAAAAATTACTATATTACCTGTTCTTAGCCAAAAATTTTTTACCAAACACTTGCTCCACTTTGCTTTGTCTGGCATTGCGCAATTTTTTACAAGCTGCCTTGCATTTGTCACGGTTCATGAATTCACTGTCTCTCTCTCGTCTCGCGTGCTGTTGTTTGTGTGTGTGTTTGTGTCTGTGGGCGTGGTCACTGATCACTACTGATCAGCAGCGCCAGCTGGTTTCAATCCGTTTGTCCCTTTATAAGCTCAGTAACTGGTGTCTCATGTTGTCAGATCGTTGTGGTTTTCCCCGGTGTGTTCGTGTTGGATCGTGTTCGTGTTGGATCGTGTTCGTGTTGGATCGTGGATTCCTTGTGTATTTCGTCTCGTCTGGATTCTTCACCTGCACTGGATTCCAAGCACTTCACTGGGTCACCACGGATATCTCCTTCACCAGTCGTTCACCGAGGTCCCTGTGTCACCCTTCCATCCAGCACTGATCGCTCGACTGCACCTGTGGAGTCTACCTGTGTTGTGTCTGACCATCGAGTCTGTGTACACCTCAATAAAGAGTCTTTGCATTTACATCCGTCTCTGTGATCCGTTACAGAACGATCTGACCATCTTATGGATGTAGCAGAGACCACGACTTGGGACGAATTCGTCGCCCGAAGCAGTTCAAGGATGGATACCCAAGAGGAGAGTATCGCCAATTCAGGTCGAGCGATTCAGGCGCTCGTGACACAGGTGTCCGAGCTCACCCAACAATTTCAACAACTCCGATTTCCCACTGCGCCACCCACACCGCCTGTTCGACCCATTCCACAGGAGCCACCCCAGCAATGTGAACCTCGTCTTCCGACGCCTGAGGGCTATGCAGGTGAACCTGAGTATTGTAGAGCCTTTTTGACTCTGTGTTCTATGCATTTCTCGTTACAGCCACTTACGTTCAGCCAGGAACAGACCAAGGTGGCCTTCGTTCTCACCCTGTTGTCTGGGAGAGCGGCTCTTTGGGGAACAGCGGTGTGGGAGAACAAAGACCCATGCTGCGCCTCGTTCCTGGCACTCTCCGAGGAGATGAAACGAGTGTTCGATCGGGCGGTAGCGGGTAGGGAGGCAGCCAGACTACTCGCTGATCTCCGCCAAGGTAACGGCTCGGTGTCGGAGTATTCCATTCAGTTCCGCACCCTGGCTGCAGAGTGCCGTTGGAACGGGGAGGCGCAGTGGGACCGCTTCCTGCATGGGTTGGCTGATCGTGTCCAGAGAGAGATATATATGCTGGACCTTCCCACTAGCCTTAATGGACTGATCGAACTGGCATTAAAAGTGGACGCACGACTGGATCGCATGGGCCGCTTTCAGCAGAGGAACCCGCTTCGCGGCATGGAGACCCTGCGCGTCTACAGTCTGGACACGGTCAGCCCAGTTTCCGATCCTGAACCCATGCAGGTGGGCAGAGCTCGGCTTTCACGGGAGGAGAGGGAACGGCAGAGATCCCAGGGACTTTGCTTATACTGTGGGAAGGCGGGCCACTTCATCTTCGCCTGCCCGGTAAAAGATCAAGCCCGGTAGTAACAATGAGGCTACTATCGGGTGGGATCTCCGCTGGGAAGACCTCATCATCATCACCATCATCATCCACTCTCCTTCCGGTAAGACGAAGGTGGGCGACTCACACGCACGACACTAAGGCTTTGGTGGATTCGGGAGCGGAAGGTAATTTTTTGGACTCTGGACTGGCTCAACGTCTTCATCTTCCCATCTCCAGACTCACTCACACGATTTCGGTCAATGCTCTCAATGGACAACAACTTCCCCAGATTTCTCACACTACTGAACCCATCACACTCATAACATCTGGCAACCACACTGAAACAATAACATTTCTCTTAATGGACTCCCCACTGGCACCCGTGGTGCTGGGTCACCCATGGTTACTGCAACACAATCCTAGAGTCGATTGGGGTCAAAATTCTGTTTCCATGTGGAGTAATGAGTGTCATGAGTCATGTCTTGTATCTGCGTGTACGTCTGTTCCTGTGTCTGTGTTTCAGGAGGAGGCGGTGAATTTGTCTAACGTGCCTAAGGAGTACCAGGATCTGAAGGAAGTGTTCAGTAAGTCTCGGGCTGCTTCTCTTCCTCCTCATCGTCCCTATGACTGTGCTATAGACTTAGTGCCAGGTCAGTCTCCGCCTAAAGGCAAGTTGTAGTCACTTTCTGTTCCAGAGAGGGAGGCTATGGAGAAATATATTTCTGATTCTCTAGCTTCCAAATTCATTAGACCTTCCTCATCTCCTGCGGGGGCGGGGTTCTTTTTTGTGGGAAAGAAGGATGGATCTCTGCGACCGTGTATTGATTACCGGGGGTTGAACAACATCACGGTAAAGAATACTTATCCTTTACCGTTGATGTCTTCAGCCTTCGAGCGGTTGCAGGGAGCATCCATTTTCACAAAATTGGACTTGCGTAACGCTTATCATTTGGTCCGCATAAGGAAGGGCGATGAATGGAAGACCGCGTTCAATACCCCTAGGGGGCACTTTGAATATTTGGTCATGCCTTTCGGTTTGTCCAACTCCCCACCGGTCTTCCAGGCACTCGTCAATGACGTGCTGAGAGATATGGTTGACCAATTCATTTATGTCTACCTGGATGACATTTTGATTTTTTCATCTTCTCTCCAGGAACACGTTCAGCACGTCAGACGAGTGCTTCAGAGGTTGTTAGAGAATGGACTTTTTGTCAAGGCGGAGAAATGCGTTTTTCATGCACAGTCTGTTCCTTTTCTAGGGTACATCGTCTCATCTGAGGGAATGCGTATGGATCCTGACAGGGTAAAGGCTGTGATGGATTGGCCTAGTCCAGATTCCCGTAAGGCCCTACAGAGGTTTCTGGGTTTTGCCAATTTTTATCGGCGTTTTATTCTCAACTTCAGCCAACTAGCCTCGCCTCTGACGGCCTTGACCTCCCCCAGAACGACGTTCAGGTGGTCTGATGCAGCTGAGGCTGCATTTACCAAACTCAAGAGCCGCTTCAGTTCGGCTCCCATCCTCGTTGCCCCTGATTCATCACGTCAGTTCGTGGTGGAGGTTGACGCGTCAGAGGTGGGGGTAGGAGCAGTTCTTTCCCAACGCTCTCCTTCAGATGACAAGATGCATCCTTGCGCGTTTCTTTCTCATCGTTTATCACCTGCTGAACGTAATTATGACATTGGTAACAGAGAGTTGTTGGCAGTCAAGTTGGCACTGGAGGAATGGCGTCACTGGTTAGAAGGGTCAGGGGTACCTTTTATTGTTTGGACCGATCATAAGAACCTAGAATATATCCGAACCGCCAAAAGACTCAACTCTAGGCAGGCTCGGTGGGCACTTTTTTTCGGACGTTTTGACTTTTCTATCTCGTACCGCCCGGGTTCTAAAAACATCAAACCCGATTCTTTATCTCGTATTTTTGACCTATCCGAACGCCCGGTTACTCCCGAGTGTATTTTGTCTGAGACATTAGTAGTCTCCACTCTCAGATGGGAGGTCGAATCGAAGGTCATGAAGGCCTTAGAAGGGGTAACGCCTCCGCCCGATTGCCCACTGAATCGTTTATTTGTGCCAGAAGAGTTTCGGTCCGACGTCATCCGGTGGGGTCATTGCTCCAATGTAGCTTGTCATCCTGGGGTCAATCGCACCAGTTTTTTGGTCAAGCAACGATTCTGGTGGCCATTGATGGCTCGTGACATCCACAGTTTTGTATTGGCTTGCTCGGACTGTGCCACTGGTAAGACTTCCAATCGACCCCCAGATGGGTTACTCCAACCGCTGTCTGTCCCTTTGAGACCCTGGTCCCACATTGCGCTAGATTTTATTACCGCCCTCCCATCCCTCCCAGGGTAAGACGGTCGTTTTGACCGTCGTGGACCGGTTCTCAAAGGCGGCCCATTTTATTCCCTTGCCTAAATTACCCTCCGCCAAGGAGACAGCGGTAGCTGTCATAGACCACGTCTTTCGCTTACATGGCCTCCCGACGGACGTGGTCTACGACAGGGGTCCCCAATTTGTGTCCAAATTTTGGCAAGAGTTTTGTAAGTTACTGGGGGCGACTGTCAGTCTTTCTTCGGGTTTTCACCCCCAAAGCAATGGTCAGACCGAGAGAGCCAACCAGGATTTGGAGAGAGTGTTGCGATGTCTGGTTTCCAGGAATCCTTCCTCCTGGAGTCAGCAACTCTCTATGGTGGAGTACGCCCACAATTCATTACCAGTGTCAGCCACGGGCCTCACTCCGTTTGAAGGTAGCATAGGTTACCAGCCACCAGTTTTTGCTAGTACGGAATCCGAGGTCGCGGTCCCCTCCGCTCACGCCTTCGTCCAGAGGTGTCTCTACACATGGAAAAGAGCCCGTGAGACTCTTCTCCAGGTGAGGGCGCGCACCAAGGCTAAAGCCGATCGCCACCGGTCGAAGCCTCCCGTATACGTCGTGGGTCAAAAAGTGTGGCTTTCTACTAAGAACATTCCTCTCCGATCCGTATCTAATAAACTTGCTCCCAAATTTATTGGCCCGTTCCCTGTCACCAAGATCATTAGTCCGGTGGCAGTCCGCCTCAAACTTCCTCCTGCGTACAGGAGAATTCATCCCGCCTTCCATGTATCTAAGATCAAACCTGTGTTTCATTCACGAATTAATCCGCCGGTCCCGGTTCCCCCCCCCCCGCCGCGTCTCGTAGATGGGGAACCAACATATTCGGTCAATCGTATTCTGGACTCGAGAAGGAGGGGACGCGGATTTCAGTACCTGGTGGACTGGGAGGGTTACGGTCCGGAGGAGAGAAGTTGGGTTCCTGCTAGAGACATTCTGGATCACTCCCTTATCGATGATTACAATCGACAGGTAAGACCATTGGGGAACGCCAGGAGGCGTTCCTAGGGGAGGGGGTACTGTCACGGTTCATGAATTCACTGTCTCTCTCTCGTCTCGCTTGCTGTTGTTTGTGTGTGTGTTTGTGTCTGTGGGCGTGGTCACTGATCACTACTGATCAGCAGCGCCAGCTGGTTTCAATCCGTTTGTCCCTTTATAAGCTCAGTAACTGGTGTCTCATGTTGTCAGATCGTTGTGGTTTTCCCCGGTGTGTTCGTGTTGGATCGTGTTCGTGTTGGATCGTGTTCGTGTTGGATCGTGTTCGTGTTGGATCGTGGATTCCTTGTGTATTTCGTCTCGTCTGGATTCTTCACCTGCACTGGATTCCAAGCACTTCACTGGGTCACCACGGATATCTCCTTCACCAGTCGTTCACCGAGGTCCCTGTGTCACCCTTCCATCCAGCACTGATCGCTCGACTGCACCTGTGGAGTCTACCTGTGTTGTCTCTGACCATCGAGTCTGTGTACACCTCAATAAAGAGTCTTTGCATTTACATCCGTCTCTGTGATCCGTTACAGCATTTCCATAAGTCCAATAACAGAACGTTCCCTGGGGAAAAAAATAGCGGACTTTAGCAGACTTAACAGTTTTACTAAAACACATTTCTAAAAACCATCAAAATTTTATAATAACAGATTTTCAAATGAACTTGAACTTGTTTAATGTTTTATAATGTTTTACAGAAAGACTGACTTATTTGACTAATTGGTTTAGGCTGTTAAGAAATTGATTCAGATAATGGGGAATAGTTTTTTATTAATTCTGAAAAACTGTTATAATGTAATGTAAACGAATCTGAAAATGTATTGAAAACAAAAACAGACCTCTTTGGTCACCTCCAACCATGATGTTGGGACTACTTCGACTGCACTGTCCTCTGTGAATTCCACCACTGAATATTTTTTTGTTTCCATCTGTTGAAAAAAATAATGATAATCAAAAACTTAATCAAAAGTTAATTTAAAAAAACTATTATTGTGTATAACCGATGTTAATGACCTTTATTGTTAATCCTCTGTGCTTTCTCAGAATTTCCTTAAATGGGAATTGTTTAACAGGATATCTCAATGTTAATGCAAACGTGTGTGTGTGTGTGCCTTTGTCAATCTCTCCATAGGATTATCTAGTGTGCAAAGAAAGCTCTTATGGATGTCCTCCTCAGGTTTGGCTATCCCATTTAATGTGTTAATATCCTCTGCCAGTTCCATGATGGGATGATGCTCGGGTGACCATATAGGCGGATAAGAATCCCAGCCCTTCCTTGTATGCACAGGGTGAAACAGGGGTGTGTCCTATAGCGCCAGTGCTCTCCAACATTTTCCTACTTTGTGTCACCAAGCTTCTCCACAACGAAATTGAAAACAGCAGCAACGCCTTGAGGAAGCGTAAGATCAGACCCAAGGATCTGGAGAATGTTGGTGATGACCACTATACCCCCAGCATCTAATATAGAGCTTGTGGGTCCAGGATAGGACTGGACATCAACGATCTCATCAATAAAGGCTCTGACATCGCCATTGGAGAGAGAGAGAGAGAGAGAGAGAGAGAGAGATAGTCCAGTCATTTTAAGCCAAAATGGGGGTCAACCTTGAACAAATTGCAACCGAAGCAAATTCAACTGCGCTTTTGTATGCTCAGTAAGTCCTGAGTAAGAAAAAAAAGCCCAGCAGAATCCCATTAGGGGAAAGTTTTGAAAAAGATACAAATATATCACATTCATTCGCTTATTCATTCTTTTTCTCACGTGAAAAGGGTACAAATTTTAACCTTTAGATATCATCATGAAAATCACTGAGTTGATTACTTACATCAAGACAAACAAACAATGAATTACAATTTTTTTGCAATTGTTTGTTAACATGGACAAATGGTGCATAATCTAATTACATATTTGCTAATTTGCATACCCAGATAGCAGACCGACGTCGATTCAACGTTGATTTTTAGTTTTAAAGGTTAGTATCGGTCGTCGATCAAATTTCAACGTTGAATCAACGTTCACTATTTGATCGTTACATCAGAACGTTGTTACGTTGAAAATGCAACATCGATTCAACGTTGAAATGGGGTTGATTCATCAGTAGATACCACCAAAACACAATGTTCGAAATCTTAAGATTATAATGTTGAAACTTGGTTAGAAGAATCGGACAGCATGCACTAAAGCCCAATTAGGACGTTAATGTCTTTTAATCTATTCTATTAATCCAAGATTGCTGTGCAAGGGAGAAAAACACATGATAGGATTATAGGCTATATAGCCTTATTCACCCATAGCGCAAAAAAATGCATAGAACATATTTATTTTTAAAACACAAAGTTGAACACCAACATTTTGTTTGACCTGTAAGCCACTAAATGTTGCGCAAGATAAATCAATGTATGTATATATATTTATATAGGCCTATGTGAATAAATGTATAATTTTCAAATATTTGTTTATGACTTTTTGCCTCTTTATTAAACATTTTACACAGCCTACAGAAAGGGGATTTAGGTGAGTTATAGGCTATAATAAATCTGTAAAAATAAGGAGGCATTTTAATTGTTTATTAATAAACTATTGTTTTCTAAGTTTCGGCTAAAAATCTCCATCCCCGGATGCACATTGAGAAAGGCACCTTACTAATCAGAAGATATTAGCTTTCGATTCGAATGTGTTCGTTTTAAATTGGACATTTAAAGCTTTTGTCTAAAGGCTATAGGCCTATTTTGTTTCAGTTCTCGCGCTTCAGTGGAGATCATAAGCGCACCTTATTGTTTTATTTTATTTTACAAAAGCACAACGTTTTATTGTTATTGTGATATTACGCAAATAAAAGTAGTTGCAAATAATCTATTGGGCCTATTGTATTTGTATTCTATGACCAAAAATTATAGAGTATATTAAGTTGTTTCTACTGTTGATAGGAAAATGCAAGTGTTCGTGCAGGCGCCTCTCTGCCATGCAATGCGCGCTCCACACTGCACACACACTTGCGTCAAAATCTTCTGTTTATTATTTGTGATAATCTTAGCCCTATTATTATTGTCCAACATGTATAATGAATGAAATGTGACGAATTGCTTTGTTCCTTTTTTGGATAAAAGCGTCTTATACATGTAGCCTAATAAATGTTATAATAGCCTAATGATGATAATTATTATTATTTGGACATTGACCCAAAACCCACCACGTCTTCTAAGGCGGGTGACTGTAAATGCGCAAAACCCATTCCATTGCAGTTTTTGCGAAATATCCCTTTTTCATAGGCCTATTGCCTGAAAACCCTCCTCATGCAAGTGTAAAAACCTTTTTTGCATAAATGGGAGTTTTTGCGAAATTGACGTTTTTCCATTGTGCATATTTTCATTTTGCAATTTTAATTTGCGCAATTTGAAGGTTAATGGGAAAGCGCAGACATGAGGAAAATATAGAAAGCTTGAGATGTATTGAAACCTATTGAAAATATTGAAAAGAAATAGGTTATCTGATTATGTTGCATGCACACATAGCGCCCTATCTTGCACCCGGCGCAAAACTGCGTGTATAATTCCTATTTTGCACCTGCTCAAAGCGGCCTCAGAAGCACGCCGGTAAACTATGGAATGAACTTGGGCTCCCATTCCCTGGTGCTATTTTGCAGTTCCAGAAAACAATTGCGCCACTGACCAGAAAAAAACCTGGTCTAAAGTCAGTGGCGCGTTGCGTGTTGTTCATAATGCTATTTTAAGCGCGCATGCTTGACCATATAGCGGGTGCACAATACGCATACACTTTGATTCTCATCAACACAGATGCAGCCGTTTTTATTTTTGCAAATCATACATTAGGCCTATAACAAGGAAAAATATTAACACATGAGGGAAATCATTGTGGTTTACGAAGATGAAAAAACCTAATTAGGCTACCCATTTTTTTAAGACTAATTGTAGTAGTAAAGGATCAGACATGTTTGCAATAGTGGCAAGAAACATGTATATGATGCTTAACCGACGCTGATTTGGGTGGGTTTCTCCCATCCCCACAACGTCACTTCTCTATCTTTCACTGCCCTGACAAGAACGTCGGTCTCATCGGCTGTAAACGCTCCTGGCGCGCCTGGAAAACCCACCCTTATAATAACAATCCGTCATGCAACATGCCACCTGCTCTTAAAGGGTACGTTGGATGATGCTCTGTCTGATTGGTTTATTTCATGTTACACCCAAACCAAACCTATATGAATAATGAAGCTATTTCAGACCAGCCCCTTTTAAACTTGCGTCTGGTGCAAGAGTCAATAATCCCACCGGTAAAATAGCAACAGCGCCCAAGACCCGCCCACAAAGTTACTTGATACTTGCGTTTCAGATCGTTAAAATAGGGCCCATTGCCTATTATGTCGAAATAACGAGATATTATGTTGAAATAACATTTTTAATAATACATCTTTAAGAATGTTTGATTGAATGCTGAATGTTGTGCTTATTCAATTTAGTAGCCTACAACAATTTAAACCTTTGAAAAAATTAAAATAATTGAATATTAAATATTGAGGGTCTAAATTTTGCTCATTTATTAATAGTATGTATATAGGCTATATAATTGTGCATAATTGTCAATGATCTCAGCCCCTCACCACCTGATAATTCCCAGGCGCCGCCCCTGAGGCTTATCCAAGTATTTGTGCAAAGTGCGGAGCACGATTACTGTTTGACATGGTAGAGGCAAGCGGCATGTTGTTATAGTGTTATTATTTTTAAATTTAATAATTGTTAATTAAGGGGGTTATTATTTAATATTTATATTAGATGTAGCCTACATTTTAGACATCTTGGATTTCATTAAAACCAAAACTGAGAAGCTTAAAACATTTTACACTACATTTTTGATTTTAAGATGCTAAAAATATATTTCCACCACACAAAAGGACACAAGAGGTGTTTAAGGTGACAATCTGTTAGATTGTACTGTATCTTAAAGATTGTATTGTCTTGTCTTCCACCTACTGTCTTATAAAGATTAAGATTTCGTTCATAAAAAATAAACAACTTATGTCCTGTTAGATGTGTTTTGACTACTTTTTATTTGAATGTTTATCTGTGAGTTAATAATGTTATTTGTTAAGGATTTGTGACACATCAATGTTTTTATTTATTTATGTATTTATTTTTTGTAAAATTTTTAAAAGATAAAATTAGACCCTTCTAGGATTTTTGTTGGATATTGCCTGTAAGAAAAGTCAGAAGAGATAAACATTAAATTTGCAACCCCACTGTAGCAGTATAAGTTTATTTTTTTATTTATTTATTTATTTTTCTGTCAGGGAAATACAACAAGGTGAAATAAGTGTTAACCCATCTGTCTGTTACAATTAACTCTGCATAACTATGGGGTAAATTGTAACATTTGCACTTCTATCACTCAGTGCAATACGAAAATGGTTGGTCCTAGAAAAAAACTTTGTGTAAATTTGTAGCAGAAATCAGGGGCGGAGTGGACCAAAAAAAATCTACCGGGAAATTTCGTAGACCACCGGCCCTCGTCGCCGGCAGGAATTTAATATAGCATTTACAGTTTTACTGATTAAAAAGAAACTTTGTTGTACTATGCTGGAGTAAAGTTCATAAATGGTCGTTCTTTCCCATAGGACTTTGTAAAATGTTGGGTGCACCTCTGTGCCTCTAGGGGGGTTCGGGGCCAAGCTCCCCCGCAAGAAAATTGTGTAGATTTTAAGGTTAAATGCATCAATCTCGTGCTCTCTGAGAGATCAAAATTAGCTTCAACCCAAACGAGCATGCTCGTTGGACAAAGAAAAAGCATTGTACCAATAAAGAGGGCTCAAGCATCTTTATGAGAGTCTCAGTCTACATTACATTATCAATGGTGTTTTAGGATGCCAAACAATTATTATAATGTAATAATGTACATTAAATTTATTATATAACTATTCCAATGACGTAAAATCCATTTAGCCTATAAATGTAGGCTACTATATAAGTGAAAATTAGTATTTCAAAAGTATATATTTAGCCTACATTACACTATAATATAGGAAAATTAAAATACTTTTGTCCTAATTCCTTCACTTGCAAGAAAAAAACCCATCAGCTTTTATTTAGGAGAAAACAGATGACCATGATGATCGCGTGAGCAAGTAATCATGCAGCAAAAACATGATGCTATTCTTAAAGTATTGTGCTGTTTTATTAATTCACAAAGCCATATTATGGTTTCAATTTTAGTTTGTTGGCAAAATATAATGCTAGAGACCTTAATGTTAGGTTACACATTTTACATCTTTACATAGGCCTATGTGTTGGGAAAAGGGAGAAGAGAGAGTTCGGCAAAGCCCGGATTCGAACTCGCGTCGAGCACATCAAAAGCTTTATATGCAATCGTCCTACCACCTACGCCACTGTAACTATTCCATTTCGGACGTAGTTTTGCTTATCTTGAATCTAACTTAATTTTTTTTTTAAATAATTGAGCCAAAACCAAAATGTGTTAGGTTGTGCCCTGCTCCTCTCCCTACTTAGATTTTTTTTTTAATTATTATTAT